GTCCATACGATAGTCCACAACCCGTCTATAAATAGGAAAAGTACCGCTTATATAATAATAATAATAATAATAATAATAATAATAATAAATGCCTTTATTTCCAAACAGTTCTCAAAAAAAAAATTCAGAAAGAGAAACAAGAGTATTAGCCAAAAAAAGGAAAATAAAAAAAAATAAATAAAACAAATGTCGACTGTCTGAAAACCGCAAGGGGGAGTTCACTATCTAGTGCTCTTCCACTCATCCCTTGAAATTGTAAGAAACATTATGCCAGTAAGCATATACAAACATCAATATGAACAGCATGTAAGTTTTTTTAAAAATAAGATAGAAAAGTGAGAAATGTGCTAATAAATTAAAAAAAAAAGAAAGTCTAGAATAATATATATATATATATATATATATATATATATATATATATATTGTTAGAATCAAAATAATGAAATTACGGACGTTAATTTTTGACAGACAAATTTAGTAAATACAACCCCGACCGCCCACGGTCGGCACGCCGGTGGTCGATCGAGGCCAGTCTGTGCGTACCGCTCGAATAGTACGGAGCCTGTCGTGGTCTGTGTTTTGCTAGTTGTCTTATCTTATCACCAAAATTCTATCATCAGAAGTGGGATTGAATCTGCGTCCACGCTGTAAGTCCTATTGCAATGTTTATGTATATTGAATGCAGCAGGATATCTGTTATTGTGGCAGTTATTTTTTCTATTCCATTGTTTTGTTTTTTGCTGTTATTATTTTTGTTACTCGCCGTATTGGTTGTACATACATACCAGATATAATCAGAGACGAACTGATTACACATTTCATAGCGTCTGTCGGTTCGGTGATGTAAATAAAGCATATATGGAATTGTTTTGGGCACGTCTTGCTGTGAGAATCTTGTTTTTTTTTTTTAGCTGTTGACATTAGTAATGCATGGTTGATTAAGGATTATTGATATAAAATACATTTAAGTAAAAAAAAAAAAAAAAAAAAAAAAAAAAAAAAAAAAAAAAAAAAACAACAATACCATTGCATGAGATTGTTTTAACCACACTTGAATCACAATTCATTTATAATTGGCAATTAAAAGGAAGCAGCAGTGGAGTATATTGTAGGTACAATAATTGAATCGGAAGATTATGTTATTCATTTAGATTTTCTACACGTGCAACAAGCGCATATCCATATTGAATGGATTTCCAGAAATATTTTCTTTTAACACGATTTGCTATACAAGCTAGGTCTCTTTGCTGTTATATGATTTTATCAGTCGGGTCCATTTCTGAGTTTGTGTTTACACTTACAGGTAAAAGATAAGTAAATAAATAAATCATCATGGAAGGGCTTGGTGCTAGTACCTCAACCAAGGATTTTCTGACGGAGCTAGTTAAGGCTCTCAAATCATCGCGCACAGCACCTGAACAAGTAGATTTACCAATTTTCAGACCAGATTTGAGCGATGCAAAAAAATGGCTGGCCGAGGTAGAAAGTATAAAAAGTGAATTTGAATGGTCTGACCAACAGACTATCGTGAGGTTGGGTCGATTTTTAACGGGAATATCTAAAACGTGGTTTGAAAACTGGGTACCAGATGTAAAAAACTGGGACACTTTTGTACGTGACTTTTTGGAGGCGTTTCCACCCAAAAAGATTTTGGGTGAATTACTTCTGAAAGCGGCTCAATTCAATAGTCACAACTGCAATACGTACGAGGCGTACGTCTTTGAGAAAGTTACTCTGCTTCGAAACCTACGGGCACACTGGGACGAGACAGATCTTGTTGAGATAATCATCCACGGAATTATGGAACGTGACGTGCGTGTCACGGCAGGCAATCAGAATCATAAAAAAATATCCGATCTCATTTCTTATTTAGGATCAGTGCCGAAATGTCGTTCCGGAGAGTCAAGGGCGGATAATACAACTTCGGAAATAAGGGAACCGCCCCGTAAACGGTTCCGTGAGAGCATCGAGGATGATAGAAAACGCAAAAGACCACTCATGTGTTATAATTGTGGAAAAAGAGGTCATATCCAGAAATTTTGCATTGAAGTTAATAAAAATGACGAAACACAGAAAAATTCATCTCCTGCAAATTATTTGAAGTCATCTAAGGTAACCTCTGAGTTAGTGTGTTCCTTCTGTGCTAAAAGTGGACATAAAATTGATGATTGTTTTATAAAAAAGGGGATCGAGAAACGCCGTAATGTGAATCGTTGCAGTAGTGGTAAATCAGGTACTACCGAGGTGATGACGGTCAATGGAATAACGATGAAAGGCATTGTAGATACGGGTGCTGATATTTCATTAATCGCTCGAAAACATGCTGAAAAGTTTCAGGATAAACTAATACCCACTCTCACCACAATTAGCGGTGTATTACCTGGCTGTTATGTTTCTGAAAAATCGTTAATTGCTGACTTTGAGATGTCCGGTGTAAGAACAGAACTCACATTCATTGTTGTGCCTGATAGTTTTCTCGAAAACGACGTATTGGTGGGCTGCAATCTTTATGACGATCCCGACATCGTGACAATCACAAATTATGCTGGTACCAAAATTGTCAAGAACAAAGTTGCTAGAGTTCTTGATATCTTGCCGAATGCTGAAGATCTTGAGGTGGATGTACCAGATATACACAAGTCCAGATTGTTGAAACTTCTTTCCCATTATAGAGACATTGTAGCGGCTAGTGCAAACGCTGTCACCTGTGTAAATAACACCTCAATGCACATAAGACTTCGCGATGACTTCGTTGTTAATAGAAGCCCTTACCGATTATCAATAAATGAAAGGAAAACTGTTCAAGACATTGTTAATGACCTGTTAAATAACCGTATCATTCAGGAAAGTGAATCGCCTTTTGCCAGCCCCATAATACTCGTCAAAAAGAAGGAGGGTTCTTATAGAATGTGTGTTGATTTTCGTGCGCTCAATCAACATACAATCAAGGATCGATACCCCTTGCCGTTGATAGACGACCAATTGGATCGCTTGGGAAAGAGCAAAGTGTTCACCTCCTTAGATATGTCTTCCGGATTTCATCAAATTCCATTGGATTCTGAATCAGTTCATAAGACTGCATTCGTAACGCCAGACGGGCACTTCGAATATTTACGCATGCCATTTGGCCTAGCCAATGCCCCGGCAGTTTTTCAAAGGGCAATAAATAAAGCATTGGGGAATCTCAGGAATACGGTAGCACTGGTATACCTTGACGATGTTCTGATACCGTCCGAAACTGTTGAAGAAAATTTGGCATCATTGGATCTAGTATTGCAAGCACTCAAAAATGCAGGATTCAGTTTGAACTTGAAAAAGTGTCATTTTCTTCAGAACAAATTAGAATATTTGGGCAGAGAAATATCTGCAGAAGGCATATCTCCTGGGTCACAAAAGGTAGAAGCACTGGTAAGATCCCCGGTACCTACCACATTAAAACAAGTCCGACAGTTGATGGGCTTAGCCGGATACTTTCGGAAATTCATACCCGAGTTTGCTACCCGTACTGCACCTATCACTAAACTTACCAAATCAAACGTGCCTTTTTGTTGGGGTGAAGAACAAGAATCTGCTAGAAGGTATATAATTGAATATTGGACATCGCGACCACTCCTCAGCGTATTCGATCCTGAACTTCCTACCGAATTACACACAGATGCGAGTAGTATTGGTTACGGAGGGATGCTTATCCAAAAGCAAGACGGAAATTTACGTGTTATTGGATACTTCAGTAGAAAAACCAACAAGTATGAAGAAAAATATCATTCTTATGAATTAGAAACTCTTGCCGCGGTAAGCTCCATGAAGTATTTCCGGGTTTATCTCCTCGGTATCCACTTTACGTTGGTTACTGATTGTAACGCTATCAAATCAACAGCAGCAAAGAAGGACATCCTACCAAGAGTAGCTCGCTGGTGGGTCTACATGCAGGATTTTGATTTTGATATAGTTTATAAAAAAGGGTGTTCATTGCCACATGTAGATTTTTTGAGCAGGAATCCCGTAATTCGCTGTCTGAAGAAATATAACAATTGGTTATATATTGAGCAACGTGGAGATAATGAGGTTAAAAGATTGCTAGATGACTGGAAGGAAGGGCGCTTGGACAAAACTCGTTATTCTGTCAAAAATGATATACTACATTACAATATATCTACATCTGAGGGATCCGTTTCCAAGCCTTTTGTACCCCGACAAAGCAGATTGGGCTTGTTAAGGATATTTCATGATGAACAGTGTCACGTTGGCATTGACAAAACCTTAGAATCAATAAAAATACACTTTTGGTTCCCACGTATGCGATACTTTGTTACAAAGTATATAAAGCATTGTCTCATCTGTGCTGTGAAGAAAACTAGGTCTGGTCCATTACAGGGCTTCGTCACAAGAGTCGAAAAACCGTCTGAGCCCATGAACATCATTCATGCCGATTGTTTAGGTCCCTTAGAAACTACAAACGAGGGACATAAGCACATTTTGGTATTAATCGATGCGTTTACAAAGTATTGCATACTGTTGCCGTTGAAGACTGTCAAAGCCTGCGAAACGAAAGAAGCTTTTCAGTTGTTCATATCTCTGTTTGGTACGCCGAAGCAAATCATTATGGATGCAGGTAAAAACTTCAAGAACTTGAGCCTCCCAGAATACTTGGACTCCTTGGGCATCAGTTACCATTATACTACCCCCGATGTACACAGGTCCAATGGACAAGTAGAGAGATATATGAGAACAATAATGAATCTTCTGCGAATTGAAACAAAAGTTCGGTCAGAATGGTCGAGTGGTTTATGGAAAATTCAGTTGGTTTTGAATACGACTGTGCAGAAGTCAATAGGAACAACACCACTTCGAGCTTTAATTGGCATTGATGGTTCTACTCCACTCATCCAAAGTTTGCTGGCTAACTTAAGTTCTGATCTACAGCCAATCAGAAATTTACAACTCGATCGTAGTAGAATGAAGGATCGTATGGAGTCGTTAGCAGAGGCTAAAATCAAGGAGAATGAAAAACGCCGAAATACCAAAACCTTCAGCATTGGAGATTTTGTCCTTATGCACCGTGATGATAAGATGCACCAAGGTAAATTGAAGTATGAATTCCAGGGACCTTTTGAAATTGTGGGTATCACACCAAAAGGTCGATATGAAATGAAGAGAGTTGGTAAATCTCTTGTGACTAAGGCTGCTAAAGAACAATTGAGGAGTTGGCCTAGCGATTGGTCTATGACTGTGAACATGGAGGAGCTTCTTGAAGATTTAGAGGATGAGTAAGTAGTCTGGATATTGGCCAGTGTTAGAATGTAGTTTGTGACGTCAGAAATATATTTTGCATGTATTTATCTGGTGTTTAAAGCTTGGTACGCTTTGCACGCAATTGTTTCATGTTTTAAAGCTTGCTACGCTTTGCATGTGCTTATCTGGTGTTTAAAGCTTGGTACGCTTTGCACGCAATTGTTTCATGTTTTGAAGCTTGCTACGCTTTGCATGTGCTTATCTGGTGTTTAAAGTTTGGTACACTTTGCACGCAATTTTTTTTCATGTTTTAAAAGCTTGCTACGCTTTGCATGTGTCTATCTGTTGTTTAAAGCTTGGTACGCGTTGCACGCAATTGTTTTATGTTTTAAATCTTGCTACGCTCTGCATGTATTTATCTGGTGCGTTATGCATTCTTACTTAATGTAATTGTTTATAAAGTCAAGTTTGACTTTGTGGTATTGTTTCAGTGAGGAAGAACCAGAGATTGCAGATGGAACTGAAGCAAGGAGTGAATGATTACGTTGTCTGTTATTATTGTTTGCGATGTTTGTTATTTGTTATAATGTTACTAATTTCTGAATTTGTTTAATACAAGAATATTTTCTTTCTGAGTATTTTGTCTTTACTTCGTTGCTACAAATCAGGCTGTTATACAATTAACGTCGAGAACGACTTTGTACTCAGGTTGGCCGTGTTAGAATCAAAATAATGAAATTACGGACGTTAATTTTTGACAGACAAATTTAGTAAATACAACCCCGACCGCCCACGGTCGGCACGCCGGTGGTCGATCGAGGCCAGTCTGTGCGTACCGCTCGAATAGTACGGAGCCTGTCGTGGTCTGTGTTTTGCTAGTTGTCTTATCTTATCACCAAAATTCTATCAATATATATATATACCCATACATACCGCATAAACAAACGCCAATATGAACGACAATTGAGTTTGAAAAAAAAGAGCAAAGAGAAAACGTGGTGGTAAATTTAAAAGTCTACAATGATATATGAATACATATAGGTACATTATGCATCATATGAAAAAAAAAAATATAAATAATATAATGGAATGCAAACAAAATAAAATTGAAATTCCGCAGTAAGAATAATTATTTTACTTTATACATTCAAGGTAAGAATCGCGCAAAACCGCTTTGAACTTGTGAATTTCATATGATTTGAGGTACTGGGGGATAGGATTGTGCTTATATATATATACATACATACATATATATATATATATATATATATATATATATATATAGGTGAAAAATTAAAGCTTCCGCTTTTTGTTGGGTACTTCGACAAGATTTAAGCAAAGAGGACTCTTTATACTTTTTTTAATTCTCTCTAGCTTTCAATGGACTTTGCCATCATCATCAGGAGAGTAGTATGTGAGAATGTTGCTAATTGTTGTTTACGCATAGGATGAGGGAAACGTCCAGTAACATGGTGAGAGCTGAATAGGTTGCACAATAGTCAAAATTTATACAAAACATGACAAGAACACGTTAAAAACAGATTAAAAATTATTTTAAAAAATTAGAACATTACATCGTGAAACCACCTGATGATTGCACAAATTAGTGGTCATGGAATGATGACCACTAATTTGTCATTCCATGACCACTAATTTGTGCAATCATCAGGTGGTTTCACGATGTAATGTTCTAATTTTTTAAAATAATTTTTAATCTGTTTTTAACGTGTTCTTGTCATGTTTTGTATAAATTTTGACTATTGTGCAACCTATTCAGCTCTCACCATGTTACTGGACGTTTCCCTCATCCTATGCGTAAACAACAATTAGCAACATTCTCACATACTACTCTCCTGATGATGATGGCAAAGTCCATTGAAAGCTAGAGAGAATTAAAAAAAGTATAAAGAGTCCTCTTTGCTTAAATCTTGTCGAAGTACCCAACAAAAAGCGGAAGCTTTAATTTTTCACCTAACTGGTCTAGACGACAATGACCACGTCTCAAGTTATATATATATATATATATATATATATATATATATATATATATATATTATACGTAAATGATCTTTCATAAAATTTAGTTCTATGGAATGGAGCGGTAATGTTTTGTATCGAACGAATATTTACGGAATGGATGTCTTTTCTGAATGTTATTTCTCGTAGAGGTAATGAGGCCGCCTGAGAGCTAAAATTTTATGATAAAAGCATATTGTGAATATCTCAAAACGAGCCTTCATATTTAGCCACCGGAGTTCTTTCAGCTTATGACTAACTCTTTAAAATTTTCTTATACCATATATAAAACGTATGCATGAGTTCTGTGTTCTCTGTATTCGCATTAATGTATCACAATCTAAACATGCAGAATAAATTTGAGCACAGTACGAAAACTGTGATAAAAGCAAGGTTTCTCAAAAAAATTATTTCATGTCTAAATTGATAGAATTTCGGTGAGGATACAATAATTTTAGAGCCAGATAAGATTTTTTGATACAGTTTGATATGTGCTCACGTAACCTCAGATTACAATCCATTGTTAAGCCTAAGTTTTTAACTTTATCACAGAATTTTAATCAAATATTATTTATGGTTATATTTAAATTCTCAATCACATAAGAACTGTCTTTATATTTTGACGAATTTTCCATACAAGGTTACTCCTATACCAAGGACGTTATGGCTTGATAGGTTTTGAAAAACGAAACAAATAAGAATCCTGGCCATTTTTAGGAAAATGTTTGGTCACAGGGATGTTGAAAATGTTGCATCTTTGGTATCAGTGAAAGACTTAGTTATCCAGTAATTTGTGACCTACTACCCACCATAATATTCAGCCTGGTATTTACGTCTATGACTCTAGCGACACCAGCTACCAATTTAACAACGCCAACGCTGCCCCAGGCCGTAGCATCAACGCTGTCGTCGACGAAAATTAAAGTAAATTAGTTATATTCATTATATAACATCATCAACTGTAAGGATTTTCATGGCTGGCCAACAGTAAATCTACCAGAACCTAGATAACTGGTGCATATTGAATATCCGTGATTTCAGTGCCGGATGAAGATGTAGTAAGTTCTATGAAGGGGCCCAGGGGGTGGCAGTTTTTAAATTATAATTTTTCAGAATTACGTGGGAAGTGCATAAATCTACAAGACGGCAATTTTTGACATTTTAAATTTCTAGGGCCAACGGCGAATATCCCGCATTCATAGAATGTAATATTTATTATATGAGGCTGAAACTGACGGACCCATCAGCGAATACTGATGCTTCAGACCGCAGCAAATACTGATCGTGTAGCATTCGCCTAACGCATAGCTTGCAATCAATTATAGACACATCGCATTTGAATTAGTAATGAGTTCTAATTTCTGAGAGAGGTGTTTACATATGCTGAATTAACAGTGCATTGAAATAAAGTGAACCAGTGAGCTGCAAGTATTGAAACGAAGACTATGTACTTATGACCAATTTACGAGTATGTCAAGCATATTTTTACTACTACTATCCTGTATTGGAGGTCTTGGTGCCCTTAAAAAGCCCTTCGATAATAGTACTATTATAACAGAGCTGAAAACGTATATAGATAAACTGAAATTGGGACAATCCACAATGATAGTGCTGATAGAATTGAAGAAAGATCAATGTCAATTTTGTACGGACTTTTTCCTCAAGAGGTTTTCAAATTCACCTACCATCATTGACAGCGGTGATATGTTACAAAATACTTACATTCCATATCCAGAATATACGTTTGTTTTCGTAGAACACTTCGAACAGATCGAAAATCTTTTAAAACATGCTGAAAACTACATCTTCTACAACGTCAGGTCAAAGTTTCATTTCATCGTATGTTTGAAAGCGAAAGACAACCAATGGGTTGAAGGGACACTTAAGTTTATTTGGAGAAAAGGAGTATTCAGCTTCGTTCTCGTCTATGTATCCGACAAGTTTCGCGTGATCGCCTATAACGATTTTCTGAATAAAAAGGTTGTTGATTTAACTAAGAAAAAGTATATATCAAGAATCTTATTCCCAAACAAATTGAAGAATCTAAGAGGAAAAGAACTAGTAGTAGGAGTCTATGACGAATTTCCCAAAATCAGTAAGAGAACTGGCGTATGGGATGGTGAAGATGTACAGATTTTAAGAAATATACTGCTGATGTCAAAAGCAAGGCTGAGAATTATAGGAGTGCCTCTCCCTAAAGATATATATAATACTTCTGACCTATTCGATACCAGTAGAGACTTTCAGTTTGTCCGTAGATCTCTTCATCATGCTTATAAAAAACTGCTGTTCATACAGCCATATCAAATGGACAACTTGGTGGCAGTAGTACCTAGAGCAGGCGTCAAACGATCAAACCTAACATACTTTTTCTCAATCTATAGTTTCCAGTCAGCTGTAGCTATGTTAGTGCTTGTTTTTGTGGTAGCCTTCATTGTCAAGTGTAGTAGAGATATGCCTTTCCTTATTGCAGTCTACTGGGCATCATACCTGTTTGGAACCTCTGTAAAGAACTACCGGAAGAAGTCGTTTAGTACTAAGATTATTTTTCTAAGTTGGACTGTGTTTGGGCTGTTGAATGGCGTTGTTTTTCAAACAACATTGACCACGATACTGCTTCATAAAGAGTTCAAAGAGGAGATAGATACTCCAGAGGAGTTGTATAGAAGCAACTTGACCATCTATACTGATAAGGGCCATTTTAATCTGATACCCAAGATGCTCCGCCGTCAGTGCATCTTTGCAAACAGTAGCGTTATATATCAACATTTCATCACAGACAAAGAAAGTAAAAATGTCTATGTTGTTCTGGAGTCAACAATAAATGCTATACAAAAAGACCTGATCTTAAGGTCTTCTTCATTTCGAATCATGGTAGAGCCGGTTGTGACAGGATTCACAGTGTACCTCTTCCCAAAACAATCTCCTTGGTACGAAATGGTCGACACCAACTACAAGTCATTAATTGATATTGTTTATCTTCACGAATATCAATTTACTACTAACAAACGTAAGAGGGGGAGAAGTCGTTTGGACCTCGATACTCAGACGTTGACGTTTGATAATTGGCGAAGCATATTCTCTGCGATATTAATGTGCTATTTATTCAGTACGGTGGTATTTGTAGCTGAGGTGTTTTGGAGCAGGGCTGAAAAAATCTGGATGAAACATAATAGAATGCTGCGAATCAGTAGAGATGATTGATCCTTGAAACATACCTCATACGATATTCATATTATACATGTTGTTTAGAAGAACCTAACCACCTGAGAGGAGAAAACCTTTTCCTTTCATCACGTAGAAGTAAAATATTCTTTATTGAAGGTGCATATTTGGAATATTATAGAGTCACCCCTGTACACATGTCCATTTTTTTGGCAGGTCACAGCAAAACCACCAGAAAGACTTCCACCCATTCATCGGTCCAATTTTGGCGTACAAGTTTAGTTTACCTTTGTTGACCTTACAATGTCGACAACTTCTATTAAATATATAGACACGTTTTTAGAAAATAAGCGTAGAAA